AGCTTTTTTTTTTGAATAAATATTTTAATCCAGAAAGATCAGTATTTGATTGATTCTCATATCTGAGGAAATTTTGCCGTTGGTAGAAATCTTTAATTTTATCGGTAGAGTCTGTACCCATGAACGAAAGATTGCATTTCAGTGAAACTTTTCTCTTAGACAGGCTACATTATCAGCAAAATAAACACCATCAAGACCAATAAAATCTTGTTTACCAAGCTCAATAGTTCATCCATGGTCGAATACAGTATCATAACCACAAATATGTGTATATATGCTATTAGGATTACTACTTAGTGTTCGAAAATCTGTAGATAGAAACGATGGGTTGAGGGTGTGGGGTGTGGGTTTTCTCGTCATTGACATCCACATCCACACCAATATCTATGCTTTTCAATATTTTTTGTAGAAGCATTTATATAAAGCAAATGTTTTAGACTATTTTACTTGTGTCAAACGTTACATTTTATGTAGTAAAGAATCTATTTCTTTTGCTATGAGTAATTTCATGAGAGCGACAGAAAGAAAGAAAAATTGATTGCATTAATAAAAGATGTAACAATACCAAAGCAAAAAAGAAATATTGTCACAATCGATGTGGATAAAGACTCTCTAGTTTACAGTAACTGTCATCATATTTTATTGTGTTCTTTAAAAAAAAACAGGTTGGCGGCAATATGTAGACATACGTTGATCCTTTATTTAGCCTCGAAAAAGAAGTATTTCTTTTCATTCTCGAAAATGAGTATTCGACTAAATATTTCACTTGCCTATTTTTTTGATTTTGCAATCAGCATTTATTTATATTGAACTTCAAAATGTTAGTAGAACATATTTTTGACGGTTGCTTCCTAATTTTTTTTTTAATTTAAAACGTACATGCTTTTCATACTATAAAGGCAGACGCTTTTGTTGAAAAGAAAGAAGTAAAAAAAAACATAGTGCATATGACATCTATATTTGTGAGTAAATGTGATAAAATAAATGAAGAATGTTCATGTTGTACTCGTTAATCGTTGTGGGATTATTTTCATCTAATATTAACAATTCTTGGTCACCAATTGAGTAAAACATTTTCATTAATATTTTTTTCTTTTTTAGCTCATTCACAAAACTTGTACATGTCGAATACAAAAATGCTTGATGAATCATTTCTCAAACCGTTATTGAAACGTATTGATTCACAATATCGTCGCCATAATAGAAATGTATTATTCAAATGTATTCTAAAAGTATTTAAAACGCAGTTAATTTATTTGACTGTATTGGTAATATTCCAATGTCATAATCAATTATACAATGCATGGAAAGGTCCATTTCCAATGAATCTGAATCAATTTCAAAATCATTTACATGGAAGTTACTATATATTTTCTTCACTTCTTTTTCAGCCTGAATTCATTCAGATTGAAGTAGGCGAAGATAATATTGACTTAAGTGATCAGAATTCTTTGAAAGTTCTCCATGGTTATTTTTCGTATGGACCTTTGTTATCGACATATCATCCGATAGAAATATCGACTTCTTATACACGAGAGAAAGCGTTATATGTTAAACTTGCTGCAGATCATCGATCCTGTTCTCAAGAGCGTTACCCATATCATTTTGAATCGTTCAGTTTTGCAACACTGCGGTGCATAGTTAAACAACTTGCAATTTCGACATCAGAATTCTCAAGTCACTCTGACAAATCTGTATACATTAAGAAGATTGAAGGTATATATAACCGTAATCCAAGAGTATTCAATCAACAAGTAATCACAAAATGTGGTATTCTAGTCGGATATCTCAAAAAATACGAAAGTGACTTTGTTTTTAAGTCTCATTCGAATACACCTTATCAATTTAGTGATCATGTTAGAATATTTGATGTTTCATGTTACTATACTCCATATGTATCTTATCTTATCATATGCTTCTTCGGATGTCTTCTACTCGTAGATCTCAAAATTCTTTATCAATCTATCCTTGATTTTATACATCGACCACCACTAAATCTACATATTTATATTCAGGAAGAGTTGAAAAAAGTGAACAGTCTTTGTTTAGCAGATCTAAATCGAGGTTTATTAAATGCAGATGCTAGAAACAATTATTTTAATCAGATTTTTATAATAAAGAACAAATATTTGGTCATGATGCAAGTGAATTTAACCCTTTACCCCCCATAGCNTTACCAATCGATAGATTGTGAAGTTCCCTACAAATAATGTCTTGGGAGTTTTTCGGTCTCATGCTTCCTTTATTTTCTGTGATCGTTCTACAAATGAGTCATATATGACCCACTGGGGGGTAAAGGGTTAAATGAAAAATCTGCCGAGATTCTTCGACAGTTTTATGATAAATCTCCATTCATTATTATTCCAATCGATTATATTAAGAACATCACATCATATAGTGTTGTGGCTCTGTACAACAATTATTATCAGCATGTGGATTTTATGACCTCAAATGAAAGTTGTAATTTAACACCAGCTGAATGGTTACATGAAAGATTGGTGAATATAAATATGTAGATATCGATTTAAGTATGCTTAGTTTGTCACATGAATAGCAACAGAAAATATATTTTATTTGATTTTAACTTGTTTTAGTTGGCACCGCCAACAGTTAGCCGAAAAGAGAAGTGAACGAGAGCGCCAATTAGAAAGTTTTATTGAAGAAGAAACTCTATATCAACAACGTCAATATGACAATAGCATCGACCAAATAATGAATGGTGTAGTATCAGCATCGCCTAATTTTATTGCACAGTTCCGTTTGGATGATCCGATAATTGTTACTGGTAATTCACGTGCTGAAATCTGCAGTATTTGCCTCCATTGCTTTAAAATAGGCGAACGCGTTGGTGAATGGCCATGCGACGCTAAACATACGTTTCATTTCAAGTGTATGCTAGATACACTGCGAACAGGGAACAAGTGTCCGTTATGTCGACATCCAGTAGCTGCAGCGCATTTGCCTAACGGAGAGCAAAATCTTCGACTCATACTACAGAGAATGTTTCATGGAGTATTTAACTGACCAATTACATCGTATTTTTTAATGACTCTATTACGAAGAAACTCAATATTGAGTAAGCCCAAGAACTTTGGAACTTCAATAACTTTGACAATGCTAGGTTTCCTAAATATATAAATATCCGTGTGATTGCCTACAACCAAATCATGGTCAGAATATCATTAGTTTATTTTCCAAAGGGTGACAATACGCCGTTGAATTCATTAGAATGTTCCTTAGTTTTCCTTTCAAAATTCATATAAGTATTCACTTTGTTTTATAGTACAGCTGCTTCTGATAAATTTTATTTCTTTCGTGATCCTAAAACAATGTACGGCATACTGGTTCCATTCTCATGATTTCCTCAAGCATTATTTACTTCGGAGTTAAATACTAGTGCTCATTNTGATAAAAGTTAAAGTGGAAAAGCTAGAAAATATCCCTCCCCGAACATCACCTTCCTATCGTTCCTGAGAAGTTTTGAGCCTCCCCTAGATTAGAATCGCTCCACCGCCTCTGGACCGAACTGCCTGTTTTATTTGTTTCTACATAGCATGAACATGGAGACAGACAATTTGATAATTCAACACTAAGGTTGTTTAATTTATACTTAGTTTAAAAAGAAAATATAAGTAAATTTACTCACAAAATACTATCGCTAGTAATTGCTGGTATATTAAGAAAGGTAGCAGAGAATGTAATAATATTTGCCGTGATTACAATCTGAATATTATAAATTACCAGAATGAGACTGAATATATACATTTATATTGAATGTATGCAGAATTATCATTCTCTTGGTCATGTACAAGAAAACACCCATATTTTATGCAATGAGAAGCATGTCACTCATGTCGTCTTTGTCAGACTTTTCTTATCTTCTTTCTTTCTGAGTGACGTACACCTGGAAAGTTGTCATTCTCTGTCGCAATGCTCTCGAGAACGCAAAGCCTGAACATACAAACCTGAGGATAAAACTTCATGATCAAATCGATACCATTCATTTTCTCATCTTCTATTCTAGCATCCTATTTTCTTACAGAAAACCATCTAAAAAGGCAAATTTGTGTGAATTTAGTTTTTTTCAAGCTTCCAAATAATAAAATAGCTCGATGTTTGATGTTTCATAAATGACACAATTTCTCAATTAGCAAACGTCCTTCTTTGTCAATATTTTTTATGATTTCTGTCATCATCTATTATCACGTATTCCAGAATTTTCGAAAGATTTTCATTGTAGGCAATTGCTTTTCTCTTTGTTTAACAAAGTTCAGTTGTTTTTTAATTAAACTTTGTTACTATATGATATTAAAAAGGTTCTTTTTATATCCTTATTTGTTGTGAAAACTTCAAGCAACTTGTATGTATCTGACCCAAGATTGATTTAGGAACGAAGAGTTCTAATTATGTATTAACATGGCATAGCAAGACTATACTATCTTAATGAATGTAACCTAACAATCTTTTATTCAACATTGAAAATATACATTCAATTTGTAAAATAATTTTTATTCAGAAAAATACAATGTTTAAAAGAAATAAGAAAAAATATGTCTGAATTACTTTCAAATAGAATGCTTGCATTATGAAATAACATTGCAGTTCTCATCTTGTGCAGTCAAATCTTGAAGTTAATGTGTCATGCTACTTCAAATTTGAGTATGTTGTTTCGTTGGTGATTATTGCAATGTTTAGTAGAGATCAACAGAACATGTTGTACTATGTATGAATAACAATAATCAATTAACAAAAGGCTAAATTATTTCTAATTATCTTTCAAGGTCTAAAGTTATCTTTCAATATTCTGCAATTAAATTTATGGCAAAAAGACTATGATGTTTAGCGACATCTCGATTTTGTTTGCGTGTCTAACCAACATAGAAACGATTGTCATCGTTACTCATGTACAAAACATAATTGATGGATGATTTTCTTTTTTTCTTTTTCTTGTTATATTCATTTCTATATTTATAGATCCTTTAGAAACATATCGAGAAACGATGTTATTCGATCAAAAAACTAATATTGATACTGGTGGTGGTGCACAATTATCATTACCAGCAAATTATGAAAGTAAAGTAACTGCTCCAAGAAATCCAACCTTAAATCGTGGTCCAAAAATCGAACCAAAAGTATGTTGACAAGTAATTTCAGCAAACTAATTCGATTAAAATTCTTTTATTCTATTATAGTTTACACCATCGACATTTTTAAAAGAAATGTCATTAGATACCCAACAAAAATTACTTAATACACGAGAAATGTATCTACCAAAAATAATCGCTCTATCAGATATGTCTGAAACATCATTACAAACAGTAAAATTCTTTTCTTTTTTATTTTAATTAAGAATTCAATTTTTAATTTTAATTTTTGTAAAATAGACATCAAAAGTTGACATTGATGAACCTCTATTTCAACCTTATCCATCGGATATTACTTTTCAAAAATATGAACCATTTAATACATATGACGTGCCTTTATTACTTCGAAATAATGATAAAGTAAGACTTTTCATTTTATTAAACTTCATAGAATACTTTTTTTTTCTTAATGAAACTTTGATTAGGTGGCAAGAATAGTTAAAGTATCACAAGTTGATACGCCATATTTTACAATTGTTGCTCCACCAAATGCCTATCAAAAAGTTGCACCTGGAGTTGCACTTGTATTTCATATTCAATTCAAACCAGAAGAACAACGAGTATTTTTTTGATTTGTTGTTTTTTTTTAATAAACTAAAAACAAAAATTTCTTTAGGATTATGCACATGAAATTTTAGTAGCAACTGAGCGTGAAAAATTTCTTCTACCTGTACGAGCTATTGGTGCTCGAGCTATTTTAGATTTTCCTGATTCTATTACATTTTCAACTACAGCTGTTAAAAGTACAAATATGAGTAAAGTTTTATTTGTTCGAAATATTGGTAATCGTGAAGCTCGTTTTGTTTTACAAATAAATAAGTAAATAAAGAAATTTTTTTTTGAATTTTACAAAAAGAAAATTATTTAATATAGACCATTTCATGTTTCACCTGAAAATGGTCTTTTACCTGTTGGTGAAAGCATGCAAGTAACTATTGATTTTAATCCAATTGTAAATGGTGAAATGAAAGATGAACTTGTTATAATTTATGATACTGGTTTGTTATCTTTTTTTTTTTTTTCCCTATTCTTGAAAACATACAAAACGATATTTTTTTTTTGCTTTTAGGAGAAAAAGTTTATGTTAATGTATATGGTGTTGCACAAGATATAAATGTTCGATTAGAAAAAAGATCTATTCACTTTGAAAATACATACTTAGAAATGATTAATCAACGTACTGTAACATTATCGAATCGTAGTGATCAATTAGTTCATTTTCAATGGAAACATTATCCGAGTGAACGTGAAGAAGAACAACAAAAATTAAGACAACTTCATGCACTATCAGAAGAAGAAGTTAGTGCATTACAAAAACTTAATGGTAAATAGAAGTTTTATTAGTTTATATAGATTATTAATATTGTTGTTTTGATACCATATCAGCGTAAAAGGGTTCGTGTTCATGATCCTTTGAAGCCGAGTCATGGCCGTTTTTTTTTTACTAAATTCTCACCTCATTTTTATATATTTACTGAAAAATATATATAAGGAAGGTTTGCTCATAGATAAGTCTATTGACCTTTAGGTTCTTTTTGGTACATTTAAAAAGTAGTATATGTTTTTTTATAAATAAATTCCCGTAGCCTCTCATCTATCGGTGAATATTCAGTACAATGGTCGTAAATACGCTCCCGAAAAATTCGTGGATACGATATTAGCTTAAACAACCAGGTACTATAGCTCGGGTGGTTTTCTCATAAGTCCGACTTTTCTCGAACTCAAAAACTTTATCTTTCTCTAATAAACAAAATTCAATTTTTTAGTTAATACCAGTGAATCTCCATCAGCTGGTCCATTTGATTTTGGTGTATTAATTCAACGTACATTTATAAATCATCGTCGTCAATTAACAAATGAATCATATTTATTTACTCATTCTAATTTTCGTATTGATCCACTTGAAGGTGATCTATGGCCAGGTGGTAGTCTAGATATTCAAGTTTTATTTAAACCAAATGAAGCACGTAAATATGAACAAACAGCATGGCTTGATGTTGTTGGTCGTGAACAACGATTACCATTAACATTAACAGGTGAAGGTGAAGGTGCAAAATTAGAAGCATCATTTCAAACATTAGATATTGGTTGTGTTTATGTTGGTTCAACACATTTATACGAAGTTGTTTTAGCTAATAAAGGTTTTATTGAAGCACGTTATCAAATTCTTAATGGAAATTCTATATTTGGTTCATGTTTTCAATTTGATCCATCATCTGGTACAATATCAATTGAAAATTATCAAGCTATACAAATAACATTTCATAGTGAACAACTTGGACAATTTAATGAAATATTTAATGTTGAAATTGAAGGTAATCCACGAGCATTACCAATAACTATATCTGGACAAGTTATTGGACCAACATTTTATTTTGATCAAGCACAATTAAAATTTGGTCTTGTTTCATATGGTTTTCAAACAACATTAGGATGTCATTTATATAATACATCACTTGTACCAATGCCATTTAAATTACATATTGATCAAGAAAGAAATAAAAAACATAATCATCTTGTTTCATTTGATGATGATGAAGATGAAGAAGAAGATACAATAAATAGTAATGAATTTCAAATTCGACCATCACGTGGAATAATTCCACCACAAAGTGATACGAAAATTTATGTTGATTTTATACCAAAATCTATTCAAAAATATGATACATTTTTACAAGTTGATATAGATGGTGTAGGAAAAAATATTTTTTCATTACCAATTACAGCTAAGTAAGTATTGATAGAAATCATTAGTAATATTGTGCAATTGAATTATAATCATTTGAGTTAGATGCATAGGAGAATTTTCAATATTAGTATCTGAACTTAGGAAATAGTAGAAAGTTTGATACTTTCATAATAAACTACTTATATTGAGTACTTTATTTGTACAATATATTTGACCTTGAAAGCCGACTTTCAAGGTGAACTAATGAGATAGGCAATGTTTTCAAATGTCTATGAAACATCTCCTTAGATCTTCATATGTTGATTTTTTTAGACACACAAATATTCATTTTTTTAATAGATTATAGAATACATTGAGTTGATATCTATCCGTTGAAAGGAAGAAATAAATGCGAAAACATCGGATTTAAATCCGAGTGTTATGTGTACTTCAAAAAGTGAAAAGGTATATTCACTGTGTTTTTTATCACTAAATTGCAAGGAGAAAATACAGACNNNNCCCCCCCCCCCCTCAGGGATGGTCTGGTCAATAATGACAATTTTTTCGATAACTCAGCTATTTCGTAACGGATCCTTCTCATCTTCGAACTCGACCGAGACATTGTTAAGACTGAACTGTGTAGAAAATTTCATTATGATCTGACTTTCCTTTCGAAAGTTATCGTGTAAACGGCCGGCCGGACGGACATACTGACCGATTCTAGAGTGTACTCACTTTTTGAGTACACAAAAAAGAAAACTTCGTGCTTCAGCGTATTACAAGCGTACGCCAAAGCTATCCTCTAGAACTTCTTAGCTATTTCAATTCTATTATGAACGCATGCTTTCATATCGTTTGTCATAAGTAATGATTAAACTTTGAAGATATTTTTTTCAAATCAAGTTTCGCATTATGAAATCTTGACGATACGAGTGTAAGTGAATCAATAGTTCATATATTTTGTTCTTCGATATTATTCCTTTCAAGCAATTAACACTCTTTCATCGTGTTTGAACTATAACTCAGTCTACTTTCATTAACTGTTCATTTTAGGAGTACTGTTCCTCGTATAACACTTCATAATGATATACTTGATTTGGGTCGTACATTTTTAAATAATCCAAATGAACGTTATGTTCGTTTACAAAATTCTACAAGTCTTCCAATGCGTTATCAATTTTTATATCCTCGTTCGGGACATTTACATTTTCAATCAGTTGAAAGTGAAGGTGTTATTGATGCCAATACAACACGTGATATTCCATTAACAATTACAATTAAACAACTTGGTGATATAACAGAAAAAGTTGAAATTCATCGAGTTGGTGCACGTGATCCTCCATTAGAATTAGAAGTAACAGCAACAGGTACAGGACCTGTTTTATTTATTGAACCAAGTGAAATACGTTTTGGTACAATAAGTGTACTTGATGAACATATACAAATACTTTCATTATCAAATGAATCTCCTATTCCAGCTGTATTTCATTGTGAATTTGATAAGAAAAATTCTTGTTTTTCATGTGTACCTAATTCAGATGTTGTTGAACCACATACATCCATTGAAGTTCGTGTTGTTGCAAAACTTAATGATCGATTAAAGTAAAAACAAAAAACAAAAAAATTCTTTTTTTTTTTCTATTCATTAATAAACAATATATTTTATTTAATTAGATTTAATGAAGAATTAATCATCTATGTTGATCATAGTTCACCACGTATAATACCAGTAACAGCTCAAGGTACAGGTGCATTAATTGTACCTGATGTATCAATATTTCCATCACTTAATTTGGGTTCACGTTTTGTTGGTACATCAATTGTTCAACGAATACATTTTACAAATAAAGGACGTCGTCAATTGGCTGTTCATTTCATACCTGCCGGTGATACGACAGCAGCATATGGTGTACAAAGAAAAACAAAAATTAATAATAATAATAATAAAGAAATTGAATCAAATCGTTTATCAGAACAATCATTTCGTCTTGAACCTGAACGATTAGAATTTGCACCTGGTGAAACACGTTTATTAACTGTAACAGGTTTTGCAGAACAACCAAAAATCGTTGATGAAATATTTACATGTTTAGCTATAATTGGTCGTTCAACAGGTCGTGATAAATTACTTTCATTAAAAATTCATTGTGAATTTGTTGAACCATTAATGTCATTTTCGAAAACAGATCTTTATTTTCGTGTTGAATATAATGAACAAACAATAGTAGATGGTTTACGTACACCAATATCATCAGAATTAACATTTTCAAATATATCAGCTATTGATTTAACTGCTAATCTTCGTGTAAAACATCCATTTTTATTAAAAACTGACTCAAATGATGATTCAAGTTCAACAACACCATTAGATAGTACCGATGAAACAACACCCGATATACCACCGGGTTTTACATTAAGAAAAAAAATAAAAATATTAACAGGAATGAGCTATTCAGAACTTGTTTATTTTGATCCAAGTGCTAATACAAAAGAATTATCATGGAAATGTGATGAACAATTAGTTTTCAGCTATGAAGAACATGCTTTTAATGTAAGTTTGATTAGACATTTTATTAAGTTTGTGAAAACATCATTCAAAAGGAATGTTGAAGTTTCTTGCATTTATGAAGGATATCGAAGAAATATATTCCAAAATAGATAGAATATAAATGCGGAAACTTCGGATTTAAATCCGAGAGTTATGTGTACTTCAAAAAGTGAATCATACAAATCAATCATCCTAGACTATCTGAATATCAAAATTATACTGTGAAATCTACCATTTAAAATGTTGATTTATATTGCGCGTTGCCAAACCAATAGGATATGGGACCGAATACAGCTCAAGTTTGAACTCTGCACCTTGATTTACTCNTTGTTAAGACTGAACTGTGTAGAAAATTTCATCACGATCCGACTCTCCTTTCGAAAGTTATCGGATAAACGGACGGACGGACGGACACACTGACCGATTTTAGTAGTGTACTCACTTTTTGAGTACACAAAAATAATCTTCTTCTGATATTTAGGATACAATTAATTTACATGGTGAAGTACATTATCCAAATTTATTAATTGAACATACTGATCTTGATTTTGGATGTATTCTTAATGGAACTGAAGTAAGTCGATATGTAACAATGGTTAATGTAAGTCCATTACCTGTAAAATATCTTTGGGCATTTATTCTTGATGAAAATGATCGAAATTATACATTTGAACCACAACCACAAACCAATATATCATCACCACAATTAAATCAAACACAAATTCAAAGTGGACCATGGTTAGAAAATTCTGAACAACAAATTACATATGAAACAGCAAATCTTACTCCTAAACTTGAAGAAATATTTGATATATCACCATTTTTTGGTTGTCTTCAACCAGGGTAAATCCAATAGAAAAATAAAACATTTTGATTTGAAAATCGAACTTTTTTTTGTGATATTTTTTTAGAGAAACGGAAAAAACTGCTATTCGTTTTTATGGTCATCCAGGTATAAAAACAGCTGTTAAAGCTATATGTCAAGTAGAAAATGGTCCTGTTTATGAACTCTATCTTCATGGTCAAGCATCATATATGGCATATCGTTTAAATACACATGAACTTGATTTTGGTGATGTACATTTTGATAAATCAGCAACACATACATTAACATTAACAAATGTTGGTAGTGTTCCATTAGGTTTTCATGTTTTAAATTTAAATAATTTAAATACAAATCAACAACATGCACAAATTGATGTTGAACCTGAATCTGGTACATGTAAACCATATACATCAACCGTAATAACAATTAAATTTCTTCCAAGTATACCGGAAAAATTTGAAAAAATTTTATATCTTCAAGTAGCACATTTTCAACCCGATGAAATACGTTTAATTGGTACAGGAATGTTTAATCGTTTAGAAATTGATTTACCACGTTTTATTATAAATAATTCTATTGAAGAACAATTATATGAACAAGTACAAGAAAAATCAGATGAAAAATTTCTACAACATCAACTTGATAAACTTGTTGTACAAAATTTTGTACAAAAATCTGGTGAAATTAATCCACAACTTGTTGAATCTATTGAACAATCAAATTTATTTCAACAACAAATACAACAACAATCAATGAATTTAAGTAATCAATCATTATCAATATCAACAACAAGTTTATCAAAACGAAGTACAATTAGTAAATCAATACCTATTTTACCTGATTATTTAGTTGATTTTAATTATGTTATTTTGGGAACTGTTCGACAACAAATAATTCATATAAAAAATCCAACAAATAATAATATTACATTTCGTTTTGATCGATTAGCATATAAAAATACAGGATTTTCATTTGATTGTGATCATATTAAAAATTTACCTTCTGGTGAACTTATTTCAATAACAATTACATTTGATCCACGTGGAGCTAATCTTGAATTAGGATCTGTAGAATGTCGAGTACCGGTTGAGGTAAACATGATTTTACTTATCTTAAGGGGACCGCCCCCCCCCCCCCCCGCCGGGGGCACTCAGAAAGGCCCGAACGGGAGGGCCG